GAATCGGCAGTTAATTTTTGGTCTCTAGATTTCTATCCCAGTTTCCCGCGTTAAGGATAATAATAACGGCTTCGAATATCTAACTTAATTATCGATATCGAGGGAACTCGTCCATAATTTATTAATTTCATTCCCACACCTTGTCTCGCTCATGTCCAGATCGCGGATTTCACCATTTTCGCATAACAGCAATCCTTTGGGAGTTGTTATAAAAAACACAATAGGTCCTGATCTAATAGAATAAATCCAATCTCGATACCAGATAGCACCTAAAAGACGCCAGGAATGATTCTCCATCGGACTTTCTCACAGTATTCCTCCCAGGTCTTCCCATATTTCCTGGCGCATCGCTGCTCATCTCGATAGCACCGGTGGACGAGTATCGTTGTCATGAATATGGCGTATGTCCACGGGAGCAAGTGAGTGAACCCGCAGGTAGCACACATTGCGTAGGACAAGACGAGATCACCCAAGTAGTTCGCATGACGGACAACTCCCCACCATCCTGTCATGAAAAGAATGCGCAATGGACGCTTCAGCAATGAAATTCACAACTACTACAGGTGGCAGTTTTAAAAAAGAGCGCTGGCATAGTGTTTCAACGTACCGGAACATAGAATAATAGATTTGTGCGTCGATCCATCTGTGGTCTTATACTTGCATTGGATATACTTTGGCGCCTTCCCCCATATTAAACATTTGCCCTGGGTTTCACGCACGAGGTATTTCTGGTCATTTGCGGACCGGAACAGAATATATCCACCAAGCCCAGTGGTCAGAATCGTAGCTGCAGCAATAGGAGAGAGAGACACTGGGTGAATTGCTAGAAATTGGGGCTGCAAGGTGTAGATGGTGGGAAGCCAGGCTGCCGAGCCCCAAGCTAAATAAAATCCGACATGGTCATGAGCCATATCGAGGGTTTTGAGGTACCTAACTCGCATTTATTTTTAGATGAGACATTTCAAAATTTTGCCTTCGCAGAAAACACACACCAATGCTCATTGAAGAAAAAGTCTATAATATAAACCAGGTGAAGGATGTCGGCAGTAATAATTGAGCTCGTAATGTATCCGTGCCGTAAAAACTGGAGCGCGGTGAAGGACATGTCACTATGAAAAATAGCATTGTTGTTAGTTAACTCATCCAACGCCAACTAGGAAAACATTTGAGGGTCTCACATTAATATCCAACCAATAATACCAGGACGGCCATTGTGGAAAAGTTTCATGTCCCATGATTGGCCCAACCGCGGGTTGAGCTCGATTCCCATATACAAGTCGTAGATGGGAGACCCTGTGGAAATGTCAGTGTGGCAAAATTCTAATAATAGAGTCAACGCTGCGTGATCTAACCGCTGAACTTTCTGTCTTCTGGATGTGATGGCGCAAAGTGGGCTTTAAGGTAGAAAGCTAGAGCGAGAAACAAGCCGTAAATATTGAATATGGCGAGAAATGCACCCCAATTTGTGGCGACAAATGATGAAGCAAGAATACCACCCCGCAGACTTATCGCGCCAAACAGGAGCACAGTGACAACGACAGCCAACAACCCGTTGATTTTGTACTTGAGGATATTTCCAGCAGGGGTGGGCTGTCCTTCATACGTAGACCCTGGGAGAAAACTGTACAGTAGCGCTTGAAAAAGAACCCAAGCTCCGTAGACAAGAGTAGCTCTCAGATTAAGGACGGGGCAGTATTCGCGATAAAAGGAAATGAACCCCTTGTTCCTGAGCGCCACGGAGGCTGACAATAATGAGCCATCAAAATGGTGTAGCGTCACATACCAGAAGATAATGGCAGCAGGGCATGCCAGCATTATCGCAAGTGAAAGTGCACCCCGAAATCGAGGGACATGGCTCCGCCTGCCCCAGGATGGGATAACGTCCTTTGAAATACGTTGAAGTTTATAGCCTTTCTGGTCCGAATGGCAAGGAGGGCCACTCGAAATGATATCCTCCATCTTCTCAATCAAATGTGGCATCGGACCAACGTGTAGCTGTGATCAACGGCAGACGGCGAAGGGATTTTCTCGACGTGGGAGGCTGTGGATTGTGGACGGGACTGCGTTGAAATAGGCTGGAAAGGAACCGTTCAACATGGATCTAAGTCAGACGAGACGCGCAGCAAAACTTTATATTTCGAGTCAAGTGTATGAAGGGGCGAATGGGTCCCTCAGAGGCACGGATCTGGTACGACGCCAGGAGCTGTCTCATGGTTGGAACAAAACACTTCCACCTGCATCCCGCCCGGCCTCGCATCCTGCAGCCGCGTCCTGGGGCCAGTGCCACCCTTTCTTCCTGTCTTCCGATGGTCATGCAGGTGCCAGGCGGACAACAACAACAACAAACAACAAGAACAACAACAACAAACAAAAACAACAACAGCAACCAGTTCTCGGCATTTGCAGCTCGCAGTCCTTCTGAATTTTGAGGCCAATAATACAGAGTGCATAGTACATACATAGTTTCCCCTCTTCTGCAGATCAGCGGTCAACAGAGAATATTGCTACATGTGGCATCGAGCTTCGAAGCTATCAATAGGTTTGTATTATATAATTTTACGTGTCCATACGGCAATTAAAGCGGGGGTCATACAAGCAATCCAGTATAGAATTAGGCCCCCGAATACAACAACAATTTAGTGATTAACTTATTATTCGCTGTTCTTCTGCATTGAACATTCACGAGTCGAGGTTCATTCGGTGAAGGAGCTTGGATGTTGATAGCTCCAGCACTAGCCCCCGGTCTAGGTGCAGATTGAAAATCCACCTTGGGTAGGGGTCCGTGGCGGCGAGATCACGTGTTGCTCGTGGGTGTTAGTGGGCACTACGGCTACTCTATCACGTGACCCCAACATATTGTATTGCTCTCGCGTAGTAATGACAACCAACGTTATCCTCCTACAATGGGAGAATTCACCTGCAACATTCAAGCATTCAGCATTCAACACCATGCCACCATTATAGCATTCCTGTAGGTTAAGACTGTGTATAGTAGTTTCTATAATCTGGCGCACTTCAATTTGGCCAACCTACTCTACCTCTTTTCCGAGAGACCGGTGGGACAAGATGCATCCTGCAAGACGGGCATATGTCAATGATGCCACAGAGGTAGGCATTTTGAGACCCGCGCATTGCCATTCCTTACAGTTATATATACCCTCCTATCCGTATGGAATTGTTCACACAGAATTCCCTTAAAAGAACATTTGCGCTTCCAGCCGTTTTCATTGCTTATGTTAGCTGATCAGTGCCATGCCCCTTGGAATATAGGATACGGAAATGGGGATTGATTTAAATGCTGTCCGTAAGTAACAAACAAATGAACACATTACTGTCGCACTTCTTGTTTATTTATCCTCTAAACTTGCGGATGGCTAGTGTACTGATATTCTGTTTTCCGGAAGCTTAGCGATCGACCGGGACTATGACATGCCTGCTGCTGCTGCGGGCATCCCCCCTGAGAAAGCTTCTGCTATCCTGTCGCAATTTTCCCGTCGCAGAAGAGCTGCCGCAATTGCCGTTCCCACCGAAGATAGTCGAGTTCGTGCCAGATTACGCGAGCTTGGACATCCCATCACCCTCTTCGGCGAAGATGCTACAGATAGACGAGACCGCTTACGTGAGCTATTGACGGACCTCGAGGAGCATAAGGAGGCTGTTGACGCGGCTGCTGCTGAAGATGGAGAGGATGTATCTATGAAAGAGGGAAAGGACGGCGATGAAGAAGAGGCAGAAGGTGAAGAAGAATTCTATACTGCTGGTGGACCAGAATTATTAGAGGCCCGGCAGAAGATTGCTAGGTATTCACTACCACGCGCGAAGGCCAGGGTTGAGCGGCAGAAAGAAGAATCTACCATCCCGCTACGGACACATATCAAACATCGCAAAGCCGTGAAAGAGAAATTACAGAGTTTTGATCTCTATGGTTCCCAAATCGCGGGCGAGCGTCCAGTCAGCATTTTGCGCTTTGCTCCGGATGGTCAGACCCTAGCAGCGGGAAACTGGGGAGGAGGCATTAAACTTCTCAACGTGCCAAATTTAGATGAAAAGGTTACATTACGGGGCCATACCGGATCGCGTTGGAGGAATTTCATGGTATCCAGTGCCACGAATCCCGAATCTACGTATCAGAGTCATCTGTCAACCTAGCGT